GCTGTCAGTCCCCGGGCAAAGAAAAGGAAATATTAGACTACTTGATCTAAGGCTGTGTGAGAGTGAACCGGTAAATTGCACTGAATTTACTTTTGAAGTTCTTTGATGGCGTGTGATTCATCGATCTTGCTGAGAGGAGGGGAGGACGAGTGCGAAATTGCTGTCGCGACGTCTCCGAGAAGTAAGATCCTGGCGCCGACGTGATCATAATATTAGCGCGTACTCTCGCGATCCGGCCCGCCGACGCCGACGACCGTACGGGCGGGGTATTTAAAGAACCCGTAAATTAACCCCGCACCTAACCACGCCCTTTCGCAGCCCTTCGCGAGGCAGTTGCTCGAGAGGGAAAGAGAGAGAGAAGGTGAAAGAGGAGAAGAGGAAAAGAAAAGATATGCACCGAGAGCATACACTTCTTATAAGCATTTTCTCCTACGTGTCCTTGTACGTTGATCACGTGTTAAACTCTGGCACAGGTAAAGCTCTCGGGCCGAGAGGGGGCGGGGGGGAAGGGTGGGAGGGGGAATAGCCCGGGCAAATAAGGGGATCTCGCGTCACCGCAGGACGGTCGGACGCTGTGTGTGTGTGTGTGTGTGTGTGTGTGTGTGTGTGTGTGTGTGTGTGTGTGTGTGTGTGTGTGTGTGTGTGTGTGTGTGTGTGTGTGTGTGTGAGAGAGAGAGAGAGAGAGAGAGAGAGAGAGAGAGAGGTGAAAACGACCAAGTAAATCTATATGTGTCTGTGTATATGAGGCAGAGATTATGATGCGAGAGTATGACCGCATCCCCGGCCCAGCATTTAGGGCTAACGGAGGTGGCACTTCAGATGGGAGAGGGCAGAGGAGAGTGACAGGTGGCTCGGGCAACCGGACAGCCGTGTACACGCTGAATGGACGAGGAGATTCCCCCAAAGATTACGCCGCCAGCGTAGGCGAGACGTCACACTAAGCCTCAGCATGTGTGTGTGTGTGTTTGTCTGTATGTATGTGTTTTGAGTGTCGGTTATTCTGTTTGTATGTATGTGCGTGCTTGTACGTGTTGGCTGAGGGTTGCAGGACTCAGGTGGGAAGGATAGAGTGTCCCGAGGGTGAATGCATCGCTCCCGGTGCCGGATCGGGTTCCCTCCTCGCGAGGATGCAGGTGTTGCAGCTGCTTTTTCGCACACCTGGCTTTGTGTGTATCTGCGTGTGTGTGAGTGCACGCGCGCAGGCGTGTGGTGGACATGGATAGGCGTATGCACTGCTACGTGCGTGCATATGCATGTAACTGATTTTACATGTGGAATAAATGCTCGGAACGCGGGCTCGCCCATGCGTCCCACGGAGAGGAAACAGTCCACGACTTCTACACGCGTGCTGTGGGGGGGAGGGGGGGGAGCCGGGGTGTTGGGAACTAAGCCATTACACGCACGCACTGTAACTATGGCGCTAAATTACAAAATACATGAAAGGTCACGTTCGTTCACGCAAGGAACCTAAGTGAAAATGTAATTGAACCTTTTATCGTACCGAACTGAACAGAATCAATTGTCTGAAGAAAGTTCTGATACCAGAGTGGCGTGAGATAATGTTAACTGATTGACGTTTGCCATTTGCCGAATGTGGATATTTTTACTACTTTGAATTTCATTTTTTGGCTTGTGGTGTTTACTGTTGCACCATGCGTGAGTGATGAGTGTTGCGTCCTGAGCGGCATCTTGGGCGCATTCTGGCGTTCCCGTGAGAGTCTTACGTGATCTTACGTGGTGTTAACCCTCGTGAGCAAGTGAAGGTGAGTGATAGTAGATGTGAGTGTGGAAATAGATTAAGGTCTGCGTGTAGGGAGCTGATTAATCTGCGATCGCTGGAAGATAGACCGACTAACGCGCGGACACACACATGCTCACGCACACTCACTCACAAGAGCACACATGTATGAATGTACAGTTTATATACATATGTGCACGCATGAATATGAAATTATTAGTGTGACACTATCTAATTACTGATGCGGATAAAATCGAGGGATTATGGAGAGAGTGAGATGACTGTCGGCTGACGGCGGCGCGGTGAGGCAACTGTAGCCGTGACTTTATTATGGAACGTTCCTGCCAACAGTCATACAGTCAATCATTTGGAACTGCATTTTCACCTAGAAAGCCCATGGAAAGGCTGGGATCTTGTGTAATTTTATGATTGAATTAAGGGGGAAAGTGTACGATTAACAAAAGGAATCGATAGAGGTGTGGTATCGTAAAGAGCACTTCAAAAGTCAGCTTATCACCGGAGTAAAGCTCGGGTATTTGTCATGCAAATATTCCCTCATGCAAAGCCTTGTCTGGACACCACATCAGACAGTCCGAAAGGAATCTTAATTTTGGATTTGATTTTTTGAAGTCTGGTTAAAGAAAAGCTCTCGTTTTTAATTAAAACTAAATCATTTGTCGATCTGGTTTAGACATTTATTGCCAAATTACTAGTTGTACTTAGCTCAAGTTGCCAAAAGCTCTTTCATAAATTATTTATCTTTCGTTTTACATCTCTTTGAGCATCACTTTCCCCTGGCCATCTCTTAATGAAACGTTGCCCGCGAAACCTAGTAACGGAAACCACTCCCCATCTCCCAGCCCTTCTGCCACAAGGGAAAGGAAACCCTCGGAATGAATCCCCCGAAAGGAAGGCAGAGTTAAACGGGCATAGCATTCCCTGTTGTGTGTGGATAAATAACAGGACGCCTGTCTGCTTTCTTTGTGCGCCCGCCTGCCCTAATGTGACCTGGCTCCGGTAACCTGAGACGGTACATTCCGGACAACGATTTGACCTGTTTCGGATGTCTTTAAGTGTGACAAATGGCGAAGGGGAGGAGCGAAACATACGGTAAACCAAGGAAATGGGGGAGACCAAGAATGTCTAGCTATGACTTGAACAGATACCGTGCTCTCTTCTCGTGTGTTTACATTAGCGAGTTTCTTCGCGTGAGAACCTCACCGTACTGGTCTTTTTTTGTGCGATATTTCCGCCTCCATTTTCCTTCGCCGAGCCGGTTGTGTAGCGAGGTTAATGTATTCTTGCTTTTCCCTTTCTAAGAGCATTTTTTCTGGTCGTGGGTTCTGAGGGTGTCGAAAGATACGGTTATTGTTCTCTTCGCTGTAGTTAGTAGATTTAATATTTTATTCTATATATATCGTGTCAAAGCTGTTGGTTATTCTCTATGCATAATGTTTGTGTCTACGCTTGAATGTAAGTAAACATGAATGCGCATACGTAGTGATATGACCTGACCCTGTACCACTAAGGAAATAGATATGCCGCTTGTAAAATAGGTTCAAGTTCATAGAGCGGAAAGTCAAGAGCCATTATAGTTGACTTTTAATTTTATGAAACGTTCTTGCGTATCAATAGACCTTGAAATTGAAAAACTAGGCATTGATTACAGGAAGTTGAGAATAGAGGTTGGGAGAGAGTTTCCCTGGCACGAGGTAATGGCAGTAAGAATCAGCGGCAAGGTGAACGATGAGCAGAGGAAGAGCGAAATGCTTCCACATTTTGAAAAAAAAAAACAGCAACAATTGTTCGAGCAATTAAAAGGAAACTTACGCGCGCGCCCTTGTAAATATGCTCACTTGAGGGCACGGTCTTGATGGCCAACCTTGCGGGGGTCTCGGCAAGAAGCGAGAGTGGGACTTGCATTTTCGATCGGGGGTCAAGACCGGTGGGACGGCGAGCGCCCCTAAGCAAGCGGTTTCGCGCTCTCTCTCTCTCTCTCTCTCTCTCTCTCTCTCTCTCTCTCTCTCTCTCTCTCTCTCTCTCTCTCTCTCTCTCTCTCTCTCTCTCTCTCTCTCTCTCTCTCCTCTCTCTCTCCTCCTCTCTCCCTCCCTCCTCCCTCCCTCCCTCCCCTCCCCTCCTCCTCTCTCTCTCTCTCTCTCTCTCTCTCTCTCTCTCTCTCTCTCTCTCTCTCTCTCTCTCTCTCTTCTCTCTCTCTCTCTCTCCTCTCTCTCTCTCTCTCTCCCTCTCTCCCTCTCTCCCTCTCTCCCTCTCTCCCTCCCTCCCTCTCCCTCCCTCCCTCTCCCTCCCTCCCCTCTCCCCTCCCTCCCCCTCTCCCTCTTCCACTTCCACTCCCCTCTCCTCTCTCCCACTCCCTCTCTCCCTCTCTCCCTCTCTCCCTCTCCCTCTCCGTGGCCTCGATCTTGTACGATCCTTCCTAAGGCCTTGCTGTTGTATACGATTAAGTTCCGTCGTGTGTGTGTGTGTGTGTGTTAGTGAGTGTGTAGGATGGCAAAAAAACAGCGAGTTGTTTTCAGTCTCTTGTAAACGGAAACGGGGATCTCGGGGGAAATAATCCGTCTAACACATTTCCTTATGTGTCAGCTGAAGGTTTGGAAAAGTGGAACATCCATAGGGGGTGCGTTCTGTGTACGACCTTTTCTTCAGCTGCAGTGTACCCGGTGCATGCGTTAAAACCAGGTCTTGGCCAGTTAAGGACCGTTCGTTGTATCCATAAAATCACTGGCGTCGCTTTCTAGATAATCATCAATCGAATCAGGAATGCATAATCCATATTGTATCGGTTGGACGTGATATTGCATGCGACTCGTCTCCGACACGTACAGCCTGCGGCCATTTTGTTGCTCCAACCATACATTGTGTTCTTCATGCTTTAACTTGCCTGTCTTCAAATATTCATTTAGATTTTTCTGTGACTAGAATAGCCTTCTTGCCTTTTGTGTATAGTGTTCTTTATTGTGTTGTATACCATTTATAAGATGGTCTCTTTAACTATTACACTATGTATGTTATATGGCTCGTATATACTATTCCCATGTTACATCTAAATCGGGAGAATAATTGAGTATAACTCCCGTGCTAAAGACATTCAAAGGGTATTTATCGCTCACACGTTTTTGACACTTTATAGTTTAGTCATTATCGTAAATATCATCATCATCATCATCATTATTCCCACCATCATCATCCACCTCTGTTATCTAGGCGAAGGCCCTGCATCATCTCTCCCTGTGTCCCGTTGCAGCACCTGAACAACCTCTTGGAGAATTACCTGGAGCCCCTGAAGAGTGCATCGTTCCTGAGTTCGGCCGAAGTCAATGCGCTCTTCGGCAACATCCGGGAGATCGTGGCCTTCCAGAGGCTGTTCCTGCAGGCCCTTCAGGAGGCGCTCGACATGGAGCCCGGCTTCTCCAAGTTCGACCAGCCCTACGAGTTTAAGGTGAGTCACGGTGCAGTGTCGCCGCCGTTTGCGTTTCGCTCTGATGCCGGTTTTGTCGGAGTGCGCGTTCTTTGTCTCGGGGAACCGCACGCCAGCGCTTGCTTGTTCCGTCGGCCACGCGCTGGACTTTGTTCGGCGAGTTTACACGCGAATATGAACCGCGGCTCCAGTGTGCAGGACTGAAAGGCCGAACTCTTTGTTTTGTTCCGTTCTAACTTTTGGACCTTTGAGAGCTGGTTCTTTCATGTCCAGGTTTTATTGTTGTTTGCGCTAAACCAGCATTTTCAATTTTTTGCCATCATCAGTTTTATGAAAAAAATATGATCTCATGTATCAGATATTCAACAATCATTGTTTATATTTATAAAGCTACGTTTGTAAAGCAACATCTGGCTGCAGTAACTGAAGATTATATCCAAGAATGATCGGACGTAACTCAGTTTCATGCTCTGGAATGATTGTTATCAAGAGTGTGAACCGCCACTTCACTGAATTTTCAGTTTACATTTTGTACTCGTTTTTTTTCCCATTTTTTAAAATTTCAAGTGAAATCCCAGTAAATTCAAAACAAAAGATATGTTTTCGGTTCATGAATGAAAGACGAAGAACAGACTTTCATCGTGAACATGCAGTAGGATAATCATACCTTCACAAGGACTTGAGGTCTACGGATATTTTGTATATATTCATTTATTTATCATAAGAGCTTAGGATTTTTATATTTGCATAACTGCATATTTATTGTAATGTCTAAGGATATTTGTATCTATATGTAGATTAATTTGTCTTAATTCATTCATTAATGCTTTCATCACATGTTTCAACATTTCCTGCCTAGCGCTTTGAAGATTTTAGCAAACCTGAAGAGTTTTTTGCTCTCGTAAAGTTTGACTTCCATTTTCTCAAAGACTCGGATGGAATGCGAATTTACACCCTGATACAATCCGTTGAAAGTACACCTTCATTTTTTGAGACAAGCGAGGTGAAGCTGTGGTGTGCTCACTGGGCTGTACAGTACAGACCGCGTACAGTGACTGTGTGCACCTGCAGCGTCATTCCTCTCTTTGTCTCAGACGCTGTTGCACTTGTCACGCGTTTTAGGCTTTCCATGCGTGCCATTTTATTGTTGATTTGCTTAATGCCTTCCATTGTCTCCTTTCCCCGACAGAATGTGCTGTTCTCCATTGGCAGTGCTTTCCTCTACTATGCCAGCCAGTTCAAGTTGTATAGCTCCTTCTGCGCCTCCCACTCCAAAGCTCAAAAAGTCCTACATCCTAGTAAGTACAGCTTTGGCGTTTTCTTTATTGCTTCTTGTCATTTTTAAGACTTTAATCTTCGTTTTGGTTTAGGTTTTTGGGTTGGAATGATATTGGTTGACTTAAGGGTCTTACGACTTAATGTGATGAGGAGGACGATCCACAAAGAAATAAAGGGTTGCATAATTCTTTGTCCTTGGAGGAGTTATGGCTTGATCTTTTGGGGCGTGGTTTTAATGCGATTGAACTCTTTACGTTTGGGTGTTCACGCTGAAGTTCAGTTATGAACATTCTCTCTCTCTTTCTCTCTATCTATCTCTATATATCTGTATCTATCTATCCCTATCTATCTCTATATATCTATATCTATCTATCTCTTTCTATCTATCTATCCATCCCTATCTATCTCTTTCTATCTATCCATCCCTATCCATCTCTTCTATCTATCATGTATCTATCTATCTATCTCTCGCCGCGCGCACTTACCTTTAAGTACGGGAAAGGAAATGTAAACCTCTAGTTATCATTATACTAATCGCAAAAAAAAAAATCGAAAGACCTCGTATTTCTGAGGCAAAACGCCCCTACCTAAGGGCGTGTCGGGTCGCCTCCGCCCGTCCAAGGCTGTTCACGGCCGCCCTTGCAGTATTTCGCGGAGTCGGTGGGCGGCAACACCAAAGTCATGTACCCGTGTCTCATATTTATTTAGGCTGTAGGTTAGCTAAGGAAGGGCATTTACGTTGGCACGCACTCCACCTTTCGGCAAGGGAAGGGAGGGAGTGTGTTTTGCTTACGGATCGTTCATATATCATGTCGTTCTTTTTTTAGCTACTGCTTATTCGTGTCTTTATTTAGCAGGTAATTTCCATACGTATCTAATTAAAATCTTCACATGGAAAGAGTTAATTGAATTTGGTAGACGTCGTGTTGCAGCGAGGCGAGAAAGTCCCTTCTTGAGAGCGGGGCGTCGTCGTTGCCACACCGCGAAGGCCCCATCAATGAATCCTCCGCCTCGCTCGGGCGCGTCCCCGTCACGGCGCGGACAGCTTTAGCCATTATTACACTCATCAGTCACATTGCGAAACGATTCGTCGCTCTGTCAAACAAAAGGGCGCCTGTTTGTTGTGTATGAGAGGGGCGGGGCGGCCTTGAGTGTGTGTGGCAGGCCGGATACTTCGTTCAGATTATGCGTATGCAAAGAACAATGGGCTTTATCTTGATAACGTTATCAGCAAGATGGTATTTGCTGGAGAGCTACATGCAGGCAGGTGTTTGATAGCGATGGAGGACCAGCCTGTAGGAGGCAGCAGAAGGGAAGGCGACGAAGAAAAGGCTCCGCGTGGGGTCTCCTTTTCGCCCAACTTTTGCCATACAAAGGAGACCCGCTTCCACGAAATGACTCGGAGTGAATGTTGTCTGAGTGGAAGTGATTGCAGTCCGGGTACGATTGTACCTTGGGGAGGGAGGGGGATGTAGACACTTTTGTTAAACCTCGGAGCCTTTCAACGTTTTCTTTACGCAAAGGGAGATCAAAGACGTTTGTCCGTTTGTTTGTTCTTAGGTCGAGTACCAATTTTTCCTCCTAATTCAAAAGGACAGGAAGGGCGAGTCTTCCTTTAGATTATTAGTGACCGGAACTTGTCCCTCCTCGCGAGTGTCTCAGCCTACTCTCTCGCGCACACCTCATTCATGGAAGCTAGAATGCCGTGACCCGATTATGAATGGCAGGAGGAGGGTAGACTCTCTCTCTCTCTCTCTCTCTCTCTCTCTCTCTCTCTCTCTCTCTCTCTCTCTCTCTCTCTCTCTCTCTCTCTCTCTCTCTCTCTCTCTCTCTCTCTCTCTCTCTCTCTCTCTCTCTCTCTCTCTCTCCCTCTCTCTCTCTCCCTCTCTCTCTCTCTCCCTCCTCTCCCTCTCTCTCCCTCCCTCCTCTCCCTCCCTCTCTCTCCTCCCTCCCTCCCTCCCTCCCTCTCTCTCTCTCTCCCTCCCTCCCTCCCTCTCTCTCTCCTCCCTCCCCTCCCTCCTCCCCTCCCTCCCTCCCCTCCTCTCTCTTTCGTTTTACCCCACAATCCTTAATATCTTCCCTCTTCTCCCTCCCTTACTCTCTATTTTCTCTTATTCTTTTCTTTTCTTTCTCTCCTCCTTTCACGCTCTTTCTTTCCTTTCCCTCCCTTCATCACTGTCTTTCTTGCGTTTACCTTCCATCCCTTAATCCCGTCCCTTCCCTCTCTCCTCTCCTCTCCTCCATCCTCTTCTTATTTCCTATGTATTCCCAATTGTACATTGTAGATATGCATATGTGACATTATAAACTCGTTTTTATACATTGCTTTTATTATTGTTCATATTATTATTGTTATTGTTACTATTATTATTATTATTATTATTATTATTATTATTATTATTATTATTATTATTGTTATATTATTATTATTATTATTATTATTATTATTATATTATTATTATTATTATTATTGCTGGTAATATGTTGTTATTATTGTTGATGTTGTTTTGCTGTTGTTATTATTATTATTATTATTATTATTGTTACTATCATTATCTTGATCATTCCCTCCATATCTTTCCCACACTCACTTCCTCTCCCCCATTCATATGCTTATTATCCAACCCTCCTCTTCTTCTTCTTCCTCCTCCTCTTCTTCTTCTTCCTCCTTCTCTTCTTCTTCATCTCATCCTCATCCTCTTCTTCCTCTTCCTCTTCCTCCTTCCATTTTCTCTTCCTCTTCCTCTATGAACATGATAAATACCCCTTAGGATACGCGGAGAGTATGCATGACTATGCAGGTTTACAAGTCGAGAATTTTACAAGAGAATTTGAAGTGGTTTCCCGGCAATTAGTAATGGCTGACTCGGCACTTTAGTCAATGTTACCTTTTCAGTTAGTTTTCCACATGTTCATAAACTATGGAGATGTTATGTAAATAGGAGGAAGGAGACCACGGATATTTTCCATGATTAGGCCTGCGTGCGGTGTTATCGGCGGTGACACGCCTGATTGGCAGCGGGGAGACCCTGTATCCTGGGACAGCGCGGAAACAAGGCCCAACATCCTGTAACCCTCCTTAGGACACCAGATGGCCGTTCCCTGGTCCGGGGTGACCACGGGAGGGACGCTAGGACACGAGCCGGGTTCATTCCTGGGCACTTGGGCACTCGCTGTGTAAAAGTTTCTGATGTTTATCCTTTTTTTCTCTTTTTATTTAGCGTGAGGAGGGGAGATTGCTATCAGCTAATGAGGTGATGGGTATTGGTGGGAGTGGGTTTATGAGGGGGAGGAGGCACGGTAATGGGTCTCCGGAGCTAATTATCTGAGAAGTCATTCTTGCTCCACCCCCTTTCCTCTTGCCTTCTCTCCTCTTCCCCTCCTTGCTCCTCCCCACCTTCTCTTTTTCCCTTGTCCCCTTTTCTCCCTCCTTTTCTCCTTACCTTCTCTCCTACTTCACCCCTCCGTACCCTTTCATATCCATCCCATCCTCTGCCTTGTTCCTCTCCCCCCCTCCTCTCCCACTAGTCCACCTCCCCCCTCTCCCCCTCGGCCAGTGACAAAGGGTGTTGGCTCTTGACCAAATATGCTAGAGAAGGAGAAGGGAGATGTAAATAACCTTTCCAGTGTACTTTCTTCTCGCATTGTTTTGAGGCAGATTTTTTTTTTGTCTTCCTTTGAGATTGGCAAGGGGAATGTCTCCCTACGCCCTTTAGTCCTTTATTCCCTTCTTTACTCTCTTGTTCCCCTCACACGCCCTTCGCCTCCCCTACCTCTCCTCCCTCTCCCCCCACCTCTCCTTCTCCCTCTCCCCCCTCCTCCCCTCTGTTTCTTGCGTGTCTTCCTCAAGGGTAAACAATAACACGCGTGATGGGAAACTATTGCTAATGCTTTTTAACGAGTGTTGAGCAATTCGGTAGATTTTTATTTACTTACAAATGCGTGACGGCTTGGCGGGAGCGCAGAGACGGAAAAGGAAATCAGAGAGAGAGAAAGAGAGACAGGGAGGAAAGGGAATAGAGAGAGACAGACACAGACAGACAGATAGACTGAGATGAAAGGTGAAAGGAGCGCGCGGAAAGGCGGGAATGCTCTCCCCGAACCATGACAGTCGTCAAGACCCTCCGAGTCGTCCTCACGCACTCTGCCGCCAAGGCCGCTTCGCTCATGAGTGTAATTAAGTGCGCGGCAGGTGCTGGACGCGGCCGCAGAGTCCCCGGGGATGACAGCATGTCCGCGAGAGTAACCGTCCGCCGATATTGATTTACCTACGTTATCAAGGCATCAGGGTGATGCGTGCGATGGGCCAGCGACTTCCGGGCGGCACGTGCTATCAGTGAGGCATTTCCCATAACGCTCGCCCGGCGGGTTGACGGGCCTTCCCACGGCTCCCGTTTGGTATGGCGGTAATATTGCATCAGAGTTGTATGTGAAAGAAATGGGTCTCGGTAACTGTTGCAGGATTTTTGTACGTGGTAATTATTTCACTGACAAGGAATTTAGTATGTAGTCTATATTTCACTATGCTGTCAATATTACTGTTTGCTACACTCCCGACACAATTTTTAAAAATATACTTCAAGGAAATATAATGCATATATTCGATACAATGTCGCATGTGTGGATATCGTTTTGTGTTGGGAACGTACAAAGTTTGCAGGGATTTCCGTGTAATTTGATTTTATTTTTCGTTGATGGTGTCGTAAAATGGAAATTTAGTCCAGCGACCTGAATCTTTCGTCTTTGTCTTCGCGCTAACTTTTCGATCTTTTTTCTCTCGCTTTCAATTCAAGACGATTTGCATACATTGGTAAAACTACGCGAGAACACGCCTGACATGGCAGCATGATTTTGTGCATGTATCTTTTGTGACTTCAGTGTCCTAAAAACTTTTCCCCGACGGCGCTTCCTGTAGGGATAACGACGGAAGGGGGAAACGAATCGGATTTAGGGAACAGGCTCGGAGGATCGGAAATTAATTGCGAAACGATTACCGAGTAGAGTGATTTGCATAATCGCT